CTCGGGTCCCATAAGAGAAGTTGTTGTAACAACCAAGCAAGTTTGGGGGGTAATTTAATCAATAAATCTGATCATGTCCCTGCCAATTGATCTGGGCCCGTAGGGTTGTGTCCTCAGGATTCACGATGCAATTTTGTTGGGGTCGAATAATGATAATTTTCCAGTCTGATCCGTATTCGGGGATCTGATAGACATGGCCAATGTCTACGGAACTTAGTTTTTAGTTTTCTCTTATCTTCCAAATGGTGAATGTAGCAGATTTTTTACAGACAGACGTACATAGACATTTGAGGCCAGGGACGAGTACAGTCTCGCTCTCGCGCGCTCCCTCTCTCTTTCACTCTGTCTGTCCCTCTCAGGTTGCCGTGGCTGCCGCTGTTATGCCATGTGAACTATGAACTCTGGCTGACCGACAAAATAATTAGCCCTGACTACGGCCATCTCGCTCACGGTCCACTATCATTCGTCTCTCTTTTTTTCTGCTTTTTTTTTTGCACGCTGCTAGCGGAAGCAACAGTTTTTCGTTTGTTTATGTGCCCGAGCACATTTCCGTCGGGATAGCGCTGGGACCGGGATCTGGGACTGGGACTGGGTTCGAGTTTTGATGGCCCCTGGGACAACGGCTTGAACGACGACTAATTACAACAAATAACAGACAACAGAAATTAACTTATGTGCTACATAAATTAGCGCTGTAATATGACTTTTTTTTGTTTGTTCTGGTTGTGTGGCGCCTCAATAAGTTATTGCCACGCAGAGTGCGGCATGGCAACTATGCGTTGGCGGTTGTCCGCCCCAGGAGAATGAGCAAAACGTACATTTGAAAAATATTGATCACGAATCTTATTATTAAATAAGGTTTAAGCTTACTGAATTGATATGGTTATACAATGAAAGACCATCATCCCAGGTTTCGTCAGAGGTGCAAGACAAGTTTTTAACTGATATTTTGGAACTACCATCATCCAAATGAAGGAAGTGTAATCCAGTTGCAAATGCATACACCGAATCGAACATCAGTGCAGACTCAGTCTGAAAGTATTCAAATTTAATTGTTAGCACATAAATTTCAACGAGTGCATATTTAACCTGTATATATGGGACTCCATTGATCAAATCCAATCCATTGTGTTGTAGCTTTTGCATTTGATCAATAACTTCCAAATATCGTTTACTACCGACATCAACCAAACGAAACGCAGTAATATTTACGCTGTTGTATCTAAAGTCTTCTAAGTCATACGTTTCCAAATCCTGGATAATTTGTTTGGTTTTTGATATTTTTTATGTTGACGGTAGAATAATTACTTATATATTTAAAAACTTACAAACGTGGTAAACATATAGTGATATCGATGGTCATTCATTTGCAATTGTAGAATCTGAAATGTTATTTATAAGTATTTACATAAGTAATGGCAAATATCAAAAATATATTGACATAAGCTTTCTGTTCTTAATTTCATACATACATACATACATATATAAGCACATACATTTTCACAACTCCGCTGCGACTCAAAGCATGGCTCGGTACGCTTACATTCACCGCACTTTTTGAGTTTCTGTGCGAAGCCAGCACGCAAAACGAAATATTGCAATGCATTGGTATTGGTACGAATTACTTTAACATTCCTTTTTTCTTTTTATTATATACATGTATATATATGTATATATATATGTATATTTATATATATATACATATATAAATGTATATATAAAATTTGTATTTAATTATAATAATTATTATTATAAATATATATGTATATTATTTTATATTCTTTAATTTTCCATGCACAATAGATAGGGCCGTGTCGAGCCTTGCTCTAAAGCAAATGTTAGGGAATAGTGTTTTTAGTTTTCTCTTATCTTTAAAATTGTGGATATGAGAGATATTCGTCCTTTGTGGAGGCGGAAGGGGGCTAGGCGAAATTTCGAGATACAACAAATTTGGTGACTTTTAAAGTCTTCTATATCTAGGCGCTCATCAAGAAAGACGGACATACAGACATTGACTCGGCTTTTGATGCTGATCAAGAATAGATATACTTTATGGGGATATACGCATTGATCCCACCACAAATACCACAAATACCATACACCCCATTTACTTTTCGAGCACCGGGTATAAGAAAAGGATCAGGACTATACATGTATACTTTATGAGGTCGGAAACGTTTCCCTTGTGCATTACGCATATTATAAATACTGCGTGTATAAAAATAACGATCGAAGAAACTGAAGGACGGCTGAATCTACAAATATTTGGTAACTTTCATGCCTGCCTAAGAAGTTACATATAATTATATCATTTTCTGTATGCTATAGGCCATATACGTATGAACAATGTATGTACATATATGTATATATATGTATGTATAAGTTTGTATCCTAAGGTGTGCAAGTCCAAGACAAATCACAAATATTTTTCGTACGGATCTAAAAAATTGTTTTATGTTCGATGGACTCGTGTCGACTATTATTTTGTAGATTTCCTTTTGTCGAATCGCGCGTAAGACTCCTCGGTAGGACTCCGGACTAGCTTGCCGTATGTACATTTCGGTTTTCATCTCATTCGAGGCATGCATCAAATTAAAAAGTCCTAAACACAAAAAAAAGAATTAAAATAACTGTAGGACTTAAAATATAATGCGAATTACCATAATCTTCTTCGTAAATAATTGCAACCTTTGTCCAATTTAGGTACAACATTAAGTCCCTATATGCTAATGTTAGAACATTGTGGGATGGATATAAATTGACGGAAAACTCTTTGGAATTCATTTCAAGGTCAATGCGAACTTCTATGTGGGGAATGTCATATGCCTCGCAAATAGATTGCACATGACCGGCAAGCAATGGGTCCGTTGGACCAAAAATCGCTTGAACTCCAGCCTCCAACTGTCGGCAAACCTTTTTTGTTGTCCGAAAAGAGTCGTCACGCGGAACATATTCAATGTCGTATATAAGCTGTGTGTTGGGTAATAGGGACTTTTCTCTGTTAATGCGGTATATTGCGTATTTGAATGCAGATTCAATACTACTTTCGCGTTCATCTTCTGTAAATATTGCACCTTCGGCAATGTAGATAACATGACTATTAGTTGATGGTTTCACGACGGTGTCATAAATGTGAGGTGTAACTTACCTACTCGAATTACTGGTGGTAGAGCATTGGCAATAATGACCATTGAAAATAATATATATACTAAACATAATCTGGTAAAGGTACTGATGTCGATTCTCGTTTCGTTGATTAATATTTCCCGTTTGCATCGTAGTGGTATCTTACAAAAGCAAAAAAACATGATTTGCAAAATTGTGTCTTACGTTGCAGGCATAACATGAATCTAAGCCACAAAGAAACGGAAGTACATCATTTAATTTAAAATATTTTTTGAGTTGGCTTTTTATTATACCATCATTCGCTTCTTAATCATTTAAAATGTTATTGATTTCACGTAAATACAACACGATAAATGTATTAGGAAAAATACATACAAATTTACCATAAAGTAAATTTCAACAAGCTCACTGTTTTCACCCCCACTGCATTTAGTGCGGCTTTCGTTAGATGTCTGAGGCGCGTGCGCCATATTTTAAAAGCTGGTGCAATTCCCATCCCTCTGCCCAGTAAGCAGGCAGTCCGTCCCATGTGTTTGGAGCTATTATGGTGGATTGTTGCCTCAACCATGCAGACCGTTAAACAATAGACAAATAGAGAAAATAAAGAAATGAAGGAACTATGAAAATAAATTAAATATTTTTTTTTTACATTATCCCATATCCCAGAAAAGATAAAGACAATTTCGTTTTGTTTATGAAAACTGGCGGATAGTGTTTATTTTAATGTAGTGGGGGTTCCACTGCAAATTAATTTCTTTATTCTGGCTATAATAATGGTCCAATCGATCTTTTTCGACTCGGCTACTGATGCTGATCACGAATATATATACTTTGTGGGGTCGGAAACGCTTTCTTCTGTGTGTTACGTTCAAGTATACGAAAAAACGAGAAGGGACGTGTGGGACGCTTCTTACGCGTCAAAACTTATATACCCGGCGCTCAGTACTACTTCTGCACCTCAGTTACATACTTCAGTCCTACCTTTATGCCTGCTCACTCTTTCTGCTCACTCCAAAGCTCCTTTCATCTCTTTCTTTTCCGGCAGAGGTCGCACATTAAACGAGAACCAATAAGTACATAAGTGCGTGGAAGGGGTAGCGTAGCCACTGAAAATGGATTTGGTCTTTCTGGATATAATAATGAACTCATCTGAAGATTTTCTAAGTTTCTGCGTTTTCTCCTATCTTTACAATTGTGGAGTCCCTTGTTTTTCGCTCTTTTTGTTTCACTGGAGGCGTAGTACTATTGGAAATACACGTATGTACATATAATAGTGTGATTTTACTGTCTGGACAGACAGACAAAGCCAAAGACAAAGAAAAAAGTCGGCAGAGGCAGAGGGACGGCAGAGGCAGAGGTCGAGTGAAGCAGAAGGGTTTAGCCACTGCAAATTAATTTCTTCATTTTGGCTGATAATCCAATCGGATTCCAATTTGGTGATCTGATATATATGGCCATTCCCTTACGGAATGGCGTTTTTAGTTTTCTTTTATCTTCAAAATTGTAGGTTTGGGAGGTTCTCGCCCTTTTGCGTGGCGAAAGGTGGCTAATTTTTTAAATAAACTGGTTTCAGTGTGAGCATACAGCAGTCTGGAGCCAAAATTTGGTGGCTCTAGCTCCTATTTTCTCTGAGAACTAGCCGACAAACAAGACGGACAGACGGACAGACAGACGGACGGACGGACAGACGGACAGACAGACATGGCTCTATCAACTCGGCTATTGATGCTGATCAAGAATATATATACTTTATGGGGTCGGAAACGTTTCCTTCTGTGCGTTACATACAACCGTTATTCACACAAATACAATATACCCTATTTACTTTTCGAGTACCGGGTATAAAAAATAATGGACATACGTACATACATACATATGTGACTAGAAAATATTGAGCGAACGACCACATTAAATAGGGTGGTTAAAAATATTGTATGGAAACTTTATTATGTGGGCTATACTATTTTGTAAGATTATTATAAGTACTTTTAGATACAACTCCTTGCCTAGACTAATAACTATTTGGTAATCAAAACAATATTGCAACACTTTATCACTAGCGAGCCAAGACAGTGATTTGAAAAATGCTGGCTTCAAGAAATGTTCATCAGACTGCAGCAACAGCGAAGCTGCGTTTACCTTGATGGTATATACATATGTTCATAGGTATTGTATGTACATATGTGTGTTTATACAATAGTTATATCCTAGAGAAGTGGACAATCCATTAGTTGATGTTTGACCGCCGAGCAAAAATGAGTGAAAATGTAAAAGTTGTAGTGCGGTGCCGTCCCATGAGCCGAAAGGAAAATGAAAGTAAATGTGAAGTAAGTTCAGTTCAATTAAGTAATTTGAGCCAAATTTTTTTAGTTAATTTACTACATTTTATATTTATTTTACTAATATAACTGAATGCGCTTATTAAAACAATTTTTTTGAAATACACCATAGACAAAAAGGGCAACTGTTCAGCTGTTCAAATAAAACGAAAAAAATATTGATGTTAATCTAGATAATTGAAAATCAATGTATTGACAAGCGGCTACCAGCCGAATGACTCATCAACTAATACCATAAATGGATTACCAAAACTTTTATTATACCCGGTACTCCAAGAGTAAATTGGGTATATTACCTCCAAAAGTGGATGCACATATGTAGCGCACAGAAGGAAACGTTTCCGAAATTTTGAAACAAACTTGATTCAGTGTAATATTACCCAAATGTTGTGTAGCTAGCTCCTATAGTCTCTGAGAAACAGGCGTCAACAAGACGGAAAGTTATCAGACCACATTTACAATATACCCTATTTACTCTTGAGTACCGGGTATAAAAAAGTTGTAAAAGTTGTGACTTTTACGAAGCGTCTCACACGTTCCTCCTCACTCTCATTAGTAAAATGGGAAAATAATTTCAAAATGAATGCACGTGAACATTTATTTGTATCGGCCAAAGGTGCATGCAAATGAATATATCTTTGTCCCTTTAATGTCCAAAGCCCGTTCCCACGGACTATCTTCCAATAGACAATCCCGCACAGCATCAATATTTTCTCGTAAATCACCGGTGCTCAGAGATTAGTTTTTCTTAGAAGGAAGGATGCATATCTATCGTATTAATTACAAACAGAACTCTGTGAGTAGCAAAGTAAATAAACAATGAGTGCATTTAGACCAAAAAAATACAACAAAATGTGTACCTGAAATTAAAGAGCGAGAAATGAGCGAATAAACGGAAAAATTAATACAAACGAGAAGGGACGTGTGAGACACTTCTCACAAAATTTGGTGGCTGTAGCTTTTAAAGTCTCTGAGTACTAGGCTCATCAGGACGGACAGACGGACGGGCAGACAGACATGGCTCAATCGACTCGACTATTGATGCTGATCAAGAATATATATTCTTGATGGGGTCGGAAACGTTTCCTTCTGTGTAACGCACATTCAATTGGTGCACAAATACAATACAATACTAAAAAAATACAATTTACTCTTCGAGTACCGCGTATAAAAATATAATATAATAATAAAATGTATACAACTTTTTCTGTTTTCAGAACATTGTGGAAATTAATGAATACTCAATATCTGTGCTTAATCCCTCGGCCCGTAACAGTCAAAAAAAAATGTTCACATTCGATAGTGTGTACGACATGATCTCAAAAACTGAAGTTATATATAACGAAATGTGCTATTCTTTAGTTGAGAGCACATTAGATGGATACAATGGCACTATATTTGCTTATGGCCAGACTGGCTGTGGTAAAACACATACAATGCAGGTAACATAGTTTTGTTGTTGTTTTTGGTGAAGTAATAATTTTTTAACTCCCGTAAAGGGCTATGGTAACGTTCAAGAAGGTTATAATTGCGGAATAATTCCCAGATGTTTTGAACATATTTTTGAAACAATATCTATGGCCACTAATATTAGATATTTGGCTTTAGTAAGTTATTTGGAAATTTACAATGAAAATATTCGAGATTTGTTGTCTGATTCTACAAGTGTTATAAATCATCCGCTTAAAGAAATACCAGGCGTGGGAGTAACAGTGCCAACGTTATCTACACAACCTGTAATCAACGCAAAACAATGCTTTTATTGGCTAAAATTAGGCAACAAAAACCGTGTTACAGCTTCTACTCTAATGAATGAAAAAAGCTCCCGCTCTCACTCAATATTTACAATAAGTTTGGAGCAATTTCAAGGACCTTCTTCCCCATCTGTATCTACTATTTCATCGGGAGATGTTATGGGAGGAATTCGTCGTGGAAAATTAAACTTGGTTGATCTAGCAGGTTCTGAAAGACAGCGTAAGACTGGAGCTCAGGGTGAGCGGTTCAAGGAAGCTACTAAGATCAATTTATCACTTTCTGCTTTGGGCAACGTAATTTCATCGTTGGTCGATAGTAAATCAAAGCATGTACCATATCGGGACTCAAAACTTACTCGTCTTCTACAGGTAAACACAACAATAAAATTATTGCTTAATTAATACATAATAGTATAAACATATACAGGACTCTTTAGGAGGCAATACAAAAACTCTCATGATATCATGTATTTCACCAGCAGACTCAAACTACGACGAGACTTTATCCACACTGCGTTACGCTAGCAGAGCAAAACATATTTCAAACAAGCCAAAAATTAACGAAGATCCAAAAGATGCTCAGCTTCGTCAGTATCAAAATGAAATATTACATTTAAAAAAAATGCTCGAAGAGTCCGAACAAAAAGTATTCCTAAGGAAAGACCAAGATAACACAGTAAGACAATTGTCTCATATTTATTATAATTTACACAGTCGAAAATCAGACGTTGAGATTGCCAATATACATTTCCCTACACCAAATAGCGAAACAGACAACCTATTTGAGCTAAATAAATCAAAAGCATCCGAATCAAACGACGAGCTGCAATTACAAGCACGAAATCGTATAGATTTTATTAAACGCACTTTGATTGGAGGTGAACGTGCTAATGATTTGCAGCTAAGGGAACGTCATAGGGTACGAAAAATAGCAGCACAACGCCATTTAAGTGCGATCGCCAACGCATTAAGTAGAGTTGAAAGCGAAGATCGAGATCTTTTGCAAGGTCATTACGCTAGTATTACACAGGAAATAAACATAAAAAATGAGCATATAAGAACCTGCAAACAAAAAATTAAAATGCTTGAAAGAGAAGTTGGCGACTTAAATTCCGAGTTTCAGCTAGATCGAGAGGATTATTTAGATGAAATTCGAGATCTCGGACGAAACGTTAAATTTTTTCAGCAACTTTTTAATAAAGCTCAGCCTATTCTTCGGAGAAACGGAAAAAATTGGTAACAGCACGCATTTTTGATATACAATAACACATGAATTAATTTTCTACTAGGTGTCCCTCCGTTATTCTAGAAAACTCTGTTTGGAATGATGATCTTAAGGTTTGGAGGATCCCAGATACAGATAGCTTAAAACTACCGCCAGCTCATCTGATCCCTGATTTTCAGCGTGTCAATAGCTCAGGAATAAATGATATTAAAAGCCCCAAATATATTGAAAAAAAAAGAAATATCGGCAGTGTGGAAGTGGAAGCTGATGACAAAGTAAATATGTTCACAACTATATACTTTAAGCACACATAAACCAACATAATTATTTTGTATTAAAACAGGGCTCTGCTCGGCCCTATCCTTCATTCTTGCATTCTACCTATAGTTTGCAGCGTGGAGACCGTATAACGTATAAGTGTACACCCACAAATATTTTTCAAACATTTTTTGCACATCGTCTCATTATACCTTCTGCTTTGTGCCGAGTGCGGCTCTAGGCGAGTGCATCTGTCATCTACATCACTTCTTACGCCAACACTCCCTTTTTGTTCCGCCTGAGCAGAGTCCATGGCTCGTCAGAGGACACACCACTTTAGACCTTTTTATACCCGGTACTCGAAGAGTAAATAGGGTATATTGTATTTGTGCACAAAGTATGTAACACACAAAAGGAAACGTTTCCGACCCCATAAAGTATATGTATATATTCTTGATCAGCATCAAAAGCCGAGTCGATTGAGCCATGTCTGTCCGTCCGTCCGTCCGTCTTGTTGAGCGCCTGGATCTCAGAGACCATAAAAGCTAGAACCACCAAATTTTGCATCCAGACACTGTTACAAGTGTATTTCAAAAATGAGCCCCGCCCCCGCAAACGGCGAAACCTCCCAAATCAATTTTGAAGATAAAAGAAAACTAAAAACGCCATTCTGTAGGAAATGACCATATCTATCAGATAACCAAATTGGGATCCGATTGGATCATCCCGCTGGAATGTTTCCGAAGCAGAGTGAAGTCCGAAAGGCATCACTTTAATTTGGAGAGGCCTCTTCCGGGACGCCCCGGTATCAATTGTGGCCTCCTTTGTTAGTCCTCCTGTTGATACCATAGCCACGATCCGGCCGTCGTGTAGATGTAGGGAGTCTCGTGTCTGGTCAGGCGTATCCCGGCTGATCCCGTGCACAAAGCAACTATATAAGGAGGTCTGTCGGAAAAAATTATGAAAACGTGCGAGTGAAAGGTGCGAGTGAAAGGACTCTCGCTGTAAGTGTGAGGGCAACGACAATGGAGTGTACTGATTAATCATATGAAAGCAATGTGGAAAAACATAATATGTGTTTCATAATTTAATTTTTAATACTTTGCTACATGATAGTAGTCTGTTTTTTGTTTTTCAATGTTTCAATGTTCAATGTTTTTCAATATTTGTTATAGTTAACCTTTAAGTCAAAGCTGCTATTCATTATTCTCTTCATTAAAAATGCAAAAATAAAATGTTAGACATCTACTAATCACTTATTGTTTATTAAGGACTCGGAAAGCTCAGACATATCCAAAGAAACGTATAATGTAAATATACTTCAAAATTACTTTCGATCAAACCGTCAAAAAAATAAGGACTCTGAACCCAGTACTCATCGCACTAAGAAGTTTTACGTAGAAAAAGGTGATAGCCGTTATATATATATCTTTCTCGCATACACATACATACATATGAACAAAACTGGTATTCATAAAATGAAGATTAATTTGTAGTATACGGTTAAATTATTACTTCAGTAATTAATTATCCGTTTCATTTTTTTCACAGATGTTTTATCAACCAAAATCAACATTCCAATGGCAACTCAACTAAAAAAATTGGTGCATCCCATAAAAAGTATAACAGATCCCGATCATTTTAAAATGGAAAATCTTTTGGGACAGGAAGAATTATTAACACCAACGCCCAATAGACATTCTAAGCCGGATTTAATATTGCTAGATGAAGAAATTTCAGCATAATTTAAAATGTTGTAAATTTAAACAAATTTACGCGGCTGTCGTTAAGTTTAAAGACTTAATAATAAACTCAAACATTAAAAAATTTAAAATAAAATGGTCGAAGAATAATAATTCTTATTTATTCTTACAACTTAATTCATGAATATCTACTAAAGAGTTGGGATCGACGTAAGTAACGCACAGAAGTAACATTTTTCGAACCTATAAACTTTATGGTATAAATTATATACATACAGCAGGATATACAGCATTACTGGCCGACTCGATATAGCCTTGACTGGCTGTCCTTCTGTCCGTCCGTCTTGATGAGTGCCTCGTTCTCAAAAACTATACGACCTTGGGCAACTTAATTTTTCATCCATACTGCATGAAATCACACCGTTACAAGTTTATTTCAAATCTTTGCTATACAGACTGATTCCAGGCTTTAGAAGCGTCTCACAACTTTCCCTTTCGTTCTTCACGTTTTCCACCGTCTCTAAGGTCTTGTTCAACTACTCATATAGATGCGCAAGAGGCGCTCCTTTCTTTTGCAGAAGAGAAGTTAATGTACCGATTTCTTAATGACTCTGAAAGCAATTGAAATAAATGTCTAATGGAAAAAACGAGAAGGAATTTCGTAATCAGATAACTTGGCGAGTTTATGTGAGATGACGTCATGGTCGGTTTCGTAAGTCACCACTTTGCGGAATAATTCACAGGTAGCGGTGTTATGTTTGCTGTATTACGCCAGTTACAAATATTTGTAATAGATATTTATTAAACTATATTTTCTGTACACGATTCTTAAGGTTGTGAAAAGCACTATACAAAACTCTTATACTTTTTTGATGTACGACAAAATATTTAAAATCATTTCGCTTTTGTTTTTATTCATGTATACGACGGGGAAGATTTTTACATACATAACTAAATCTTATAAAATATGTATTATATTTATATTGATTAAAAATATACAGACTTTTTAATCTGCATACACTATAAAGGGAACATTGTTTACTGAAACATTATCTCGCAATTCTACCTTAATATAATTTTTTGAGTTTGTTTCATCACTAGGACTATTTGAATCGTTGTTCGAACAAGTACTGTGTCGAATAGTACTTGTGTTCCTCCTAAAAAATAAGAGTTTCGACAGATGTATTATTGTTAGCAAAACTTTTTATTTCAAATAATTTTAAATTAAATAAATTACTTACTTCGCTTTTGCATGAGTTAATATGTGTGATTTTAAATTTGTGGACTGAGCAAACTTTTTGTTGCAGGAATCAAAGGGACACACAAACGGCCTGTCTCCAGTGTGAATTCTTACGTGCGTCCTAAAAATGTTAAAAAGGTTTAGTCATTAGCATTACTACTCCTTTTTTTTAATCTTTCAGGGACTAAAAACCTTAAGTTAAAATCGAGTGAAAAACGTTTCCCACATCCTTCAAAGGTACACTGAAATGGTTTTTCTCCTGTGTGAACGAGCTGGTGTCTTTTTAGTTTAGAACTTTCTACGAAAGCTTTTCCGCACTCTGCACAAACGTGCACACGAGGACCATGCGTATGTAAATGCTTGCGCATTGCAGACGAGTCTCTGAAGTTTTTATGACATCCTTTATGAGGGCATGCTATCTTTTTATCGTTTGTATAAGCCACTAAGTCCTGGGAATTGTTCAGTTCCAGATCAGTGGTAGTGACTGAAGCTCCTAAAAATTAATTAATTCATGTTAGAATATTAGCATATATTGCACGTATGCATAAATGGTTGTTACCTTGGGTTTCATTGTACGGTAGTTGGGGTGGAGTTGACGAGCCATCTGTTTGTAGACTTCCTTGGAAACCAAGACCAAAAGGAAGTGTTCCTGCCGCACGCGAGTCACAATCATTATCATTATTTAATAATCTCTGATTTTCAATTGCAGTCGCTCCAGACCGATCTATAGACTGCACATTCGCAATGGAATTTGTTAGCAAAGATTGAGTGTCACAACTGGACGTTGATTTGGTGAAGTTTCTGTTGGAAGGATTCTTTGCTTGATCAGGAAGCTTTTTATCCTTTGGTAACTGTCCTGTTAACGGAAAGACGTTAAACTGCTGCATTTGGAATTCTTGATTGTACAACATCTGTTGCCGCAGGAGGGTTTCCTCCTGCCCGAAGTCTGACACGTTTTCATGGCTTTGTGAAATGACCATTGCGCCATCAGAAGTGTTATCCGTTTCTTTTGTAAAGTCTGTTTCGCCAATATTTTGCTCAGACCCGGAGTACTCGTCATCAGATGTTCCAGATGCCCACATAGTTACACTAAATTCCCCTTCCATAGTTTTAATTTGAACCAGTTTTTGTTCCCAGCGTCTCGACTTTCCACATGATATAAGCCCAATTGTTTCGGAATCGTCAGTAATGCGGTCTCTAATATCAGAATCTTTTATTTCTCTTACATTGCCCTGAAGACAATTCACCAATTCCTTTGAAATTTCCTGCTGTTCAGAGCAAATGTTCTTAAAACTGTTTTCCGCCTTTTCAAAGTTTGTCACATAGTTCTTGGCACTCATCTTTCTACAAGTAAACAAACAATTTTTTAGAAACAATTTACGAAAAAAACAGAACATATGTATGTATGTACTTATGCATGTCCATTTACATACATAGTACTGTTTGAGTGATTTGGCTTACATTTTAGATGGACAAACGTTCTCCGATTCTTTCAATAATTGTTTTCCATGCATATTCGTATTTATTATGCTTTCAGTATATTGAGTTTCCGACTGAATGAACGCATCAAAAATTTTATTTCTTTGTGAATTAATTTCACCGCCTCTGGAAATGTCATCCGGAATAAAAATGGCTGGAAACAAAAAAAACATCTATATGTAAACACGTTTGAATTAAGCATATATTCTTTACATACATATTAGAAAATAAAAAACCGTGTGCAGAACTCACCATTGTTGACATTAACTTTTTGAATGTCATCCGTCTTTGTTGTATCTTCATCATATTGTTCATTTTGGACTAGTATTCCATAACGTTCGTATGCCATGTCAACGAAGTTTGTATCCATTATAAACTTTTTGAACTTCACAGGACGTACCAAATCATTTCTCAATGGCGTACATACACCAAAGCAGGAATATGTATGTATTAGGTAATTACATATAATATTATTTCCTGAATTGTATTCCCTGAGTAATTTTCCAAAATGTAGGTATGCAAATAGACCTTTTATGTTTCCAGGCCTGCAAAGTGTATTAATAAATTGCAAACTTATTTACAAATATAAAATCGAAATAACTTAAGGGTCTTATAATGTTTGTGTTATATATGTATGTACATATGTATTTACATATGCACGTTCCAACAACGGCATGTGTAAACAACCTAACGAAGTCGACAATATGTACATATATATGTACATGGATGTTTTTAAGGAAGTTATCGTTTATAAATACAACAATACAACAATACAACAAATACAATACAACTTTTCGCTTTACTTTATCAATTTTAACACAACAGAGGAGTATGAAAACTAGGGCAATGAAATCAAGAATCAAGCCCACACCACATTGAACTTTTTTTTTTGTTGCACACATGCTTTAAGTAAAATATGCACCCATACACATTTAGCTTCAAACTTACAATTCTTTAGCTGAAAAAAATGTTTGTTGTATTTATTTCTTGCCTAAAATAATTTAAAAAAAAAAGGTAAGGACCTGTTTAGCCGATAACAGCGACCACTTTCCAAATTGCAAGGTTTTAAATTCTAGGGATGAACAATAATTAGATTTTGGAAAATACTATTTTAATGCCTAATGCAAATATAAAAAAAAACATTAAACCAATATTTAAATGAGCTTAAAGCAGTTATATCATCGTATATGATGTTTGAACATTATCTAATAAATTAATATAATATCTTGATTAAATATTTGTAAACAACCAAATCTAAAGGGTACTCCTGTGACAGCTTAAAATAAACAAATACGTAAAAAACATGATTCCTATTGAAATTTAAAACACACTCTACCTTTTCAGTAGGGGACAAGCCTCAATGACCTAGCAGTTGTGGGTAAGAGGATTCACGTTCGACGAGCATTTTCGCTGATGTTCGCCTCATCGCAATTTGGAGTGTTATGGTATTCAGGGATTCGTTGTGGATGCCTCCTAACTGGATAACACACACTGCTTCTTTAATTAATTTTTGCGCCGAATTGTCGTGTTTTGGATTTTTCTTATCGTAGCTTTTGCTGTCTTTCGCTCTCTCCTTATTACCTTAAAGCCGGATATCCAGCACAGCGGAAAACAAAAATTCCTGTCAAACTTCATATAAAAATAACTGCTCTAGGAATTTTTTGTTTGCGTTTCCGTTTGTTGAGTATCCAGCAAGTTAACCGAAATCCACAGATTCTTATCGATATATTGATTTGAAGAGTGGGTGTGGACTGAGAGAACAACTCAGTTAGTTATTCCTGGAGTTCCTGAACTTAGTTTACAATTATTCCTGGAGTGAAGAGTGAAATATGGAAGAAACAACTATGCGCAAAATCGCAAAAAAAAAAAGTCGAAATAGATCGTCGGAGTCAAAAAATACTTATCCCATGACTTTATTGAAAATTAAATCCTTTTACTGAAATTAATAAATAAATGATTTATTATTTGTGCTCATTCGGCAATAATTGACGTTTTGCGAACCATATGCATTATTGGCAAATGCTAAATGCATTCTTAATTCAACTACCAGCTCATTTTATTACTTTTGAATTTCAACTGCCACTGCAGTACACATGATTACCAATCACAGCTGATTGTATGCCTTTGTTAGTTACGTTCCACGCACAAAAGAAATATATAGCAAATATTTCGCTAAAATTTTTTGTGGTGCCCGCCTTTTGCCATTTATTCTTGGCCTGTCTACCAGCTGCTCTCTCAGTCCACACACGCTCCCGATATATATATTATTTCATTTAATATATTAAAATATGTTTATATATTATAAAATATCGACTTCTAGTATTTTTATTTGTAGTGGAGGTAGGTACAATTTTTTCTTTGACAGTTCACTGCCTCACTAATCGAATGAATTGCTTACACGTCAATTGAAATAGAAAAAAGGAAGAAACGCTTTAAACTTCCTAGTACAAAATTAATTGCTGCTTAAGCCAACAAAAAACAAGATGGGCTTGACTATATCTAGCCTCTTGACACGTCTGTTTGGAAAAAAGCAAATGCGCATTCTAATGGGTAAGTTTGCTAAAAACGGTGTTGATTGTTGCTCTAGGCGGTGGCTATTGAGCTACCAGCTACAGACCATATAAATATCTATGCTCTTTATTTTCTTATGATATTTGAATAATTCTGTGCACTAAACGACATTTTCGAACGCAGTTGGCTTAGATGCAGCTGGAAAGACGACCATACTCTACAAACTGAAGCTGGGAGAAATTGTGACAACCATTCCTACCATCGGTTTCAACGTAGAAACCGTGGAATATAAAAACATATGTTTTACTGTTTGGGATGTCGGTGGTCAGGATAAAATTCGACCATTGTGGCGCCACTACTTTCAAAACACGCAAGGTTTAATTTTTGTCGTGGACTCTAACGACCGTGATCGTATAAATGAAGCTGAAAAGGAACTTCAGAATATGGTATTTGCCTTATCTTTTAAACTGTTCAATAGGTTTATCCACTAACTAATTTTCTGTATTCATTCTAGCTTCAAGAAGATGAGCTTAAAGATGCTGTGCTCTTAGTTTTTGCTAATAAACAGGATCTACCGAATGCAATGACTGCCGCGGAACTTACAGACAAGTTGCGGCTGAACCAATTAAGAAACCGCCACGTACATATTTATTTTTTTTAACATGTTAATAGTACTTAATTAATACTCCGTTTTTTGCAGTGGTTTATTCAAGCAACTTGCGCCACTCAAGGTCATGGACTATATGAAGGACTTGATTGGCTCTCCGCTGAGTTGGCAAAGAAATGAATGATTAAAGAACATAAAATCTAACAAAGGAATTCGTTTTGTCCTACGCTGAAAATAATTGATTAGATCCTTAATAAATATGTAAATGTATATAAAGTCGCTTTTAAATTTTCAACACACTTAGGCCGGTTTCAGCCCGTTGTGTAGTGTCAGTTAGTTTTTTTTGAAGAAAAACGAGAAGGGATGTGTGAGACGCTTCTTACGCGTCACAACTTTTATACCCGGCACTCAGTACCACATCTGCACCTTAGCGGTGTTTTGTCAAATTTGAAATTTTTTCTTCATCCGTCATCTACATCTACTACAACACTTCTCACACCAACACGCTCCTTTAGCTCGCCCCCCTTCCCTAGACCAACGCACTGCAGACTCGCGGCAGAGGCAGAGGCCGCACACAGCAGAAGCAGAGTGTGAATGAGAGACTGTAAGCTGCGGTGCGGGGTGGGTTTAGCCCCTGTAGAATAATTCATTCTGACTATAATAATGGTCCAATTGGATCCCAATTCAGTGATCTGATAGATATGGTCATTCCCTACGGAATGTCGTTTTTAGGATTCTTTTATCTTCAAAATTGTAGGTTTTCGCCCTTTTGCGTTGGCGGAAGGGGGCGGGGCTCATTTTTGAAATACACTTGTAACAGTGTGAGCAAACAGAAATCTGGATGCAAAATTTGGTGTTTTTGGTTTTTGGTGCTTTTATGGTCTCTCAGATCCAGGCGCTCAACAAGACGGACGGACGGACAGACAGACATGGCTCAATCGACTAGGCTATTGATGCTGATCAAGAATATATATACTTTATGGGTTCGGAAACGTTGCCTTCTGTGTTTTACATACATTCACTTTGTGCACAAATACAATCTACGTTATTTTCTCTTCGAGTACCGGGTATAAAAACGCCATTCCGTATGGAATGGCCATATCTATCAGATCGCCAAATTGGGATCGGATTGGATCATTATTATAGCCACAATGAAGAAATTTATTTGCAGTGGCTAAACCCACCCCGTCCCGCAGCTTATATTTGTTTTTTGCACATTCTCTCATGCACACTCTGCTTGGCGCAGTGTGCAGCCTCTGCCTCTGCCGAGAGTCTGCAGTGCGTTGGTCTAGGGAAGGGGGGCGAGCTAAAGGAGCTCTATGTACATCTATAGATGACAGATGAAGAAAAAATGTAAAATTTGACAAAACACCGCTAAGGTGCAGAGGTAGTACTGAGTGCAGAGTCACACGTCCCTTCTTGTTAGTTTTCTTTTATCTTTGAAATTTTAGGATTGTGAGTTTTTTGCGGGGGCGGAAGGGGGCTCATTGTACCCGGTACACGAAGAGTAAATAGGGTATATTCTATTTGTGCGAATAACGGTTGTATGTAACGCACGGCATGATATATATATTCTTGATCAGCATCAATAGCCGAGTCGATTGAGCCATGTCTGTCTGTCCGTCTTGTTTGTCGGCTAGTTCTCAGAGAATATAAGAGCTAGATCCACCAAATTTTGGCTCCAGACTGCTGTATGCTCACACTGAAACCAGTGTATATAAATTATTAAGTTTCTCCAAGGTACCGTGGCTTCGGCCAACGGAATTGAGAGACGAATTTAGTGTTCAGATATTTATTGCCGACACTTCAAGCTCGGTTGAATATGAGTGTTAAACTAAAGTACACAAGTATGAATTATAAATTGGTACGCCGCCCTGCCGAGGTAGCGAAATCGTCGCGACGGGAGGTCGCGAGAGGCTAAGGCGGCGCAGTCGAGGTGCACGTCTGCAAGAACCGCCTACAAATACGTTGCCTGCTTTATACTACGGTCAAGCTGAGCTACGGGCAGGTGAGGACATGACATAGTCGTAAGAATGTTTCATTCAACATTGCCGATACCCTGCCGTTGGTGGGGAGTGTTAACTACTCCCCCTCTACAAGAGTGGTCGCCCTAGTACCTCTCAAGTTCTCAATCATTGCGTTGACCTGGACCAACTCCCTTTTCCTCTTGAGTAGGGTTCTGAGATAAAGGATGATGCCGATGACTCCACAGACGGCTACTCCTACTCCAATGGTAAGGATGGGATTCATCTTGCCCATTGTGGTTCACTCAATCTCCTTGATGTAGTTGCGATTGTCCTCGCTGAGCTGGTGTAGGAATGGTAGACTCAGGACCTTGTGGTGCTCCGTGATGTTCATGGCAGGCACCGAGGCGATTCCGGGAACCCGACGCTTGTTATTTTCACGATTCCGAAAACGGGAGCCGTTAACAATGGCAAAGTCGTCGAAGGCGACTAGTTGCGTCCCGGAGGTTTCAACCAACGTATCGGAGTCACATCGGATCAAGGCAGGTCTGCTGTTGATGATGATGACCCCATCGTCCACGAGGGTGATGGGCTCCAGGTGGCTGGGGTGAGAGTGACAATGCGCAGTGCCTCCGGAGTGTAGCCCTTGCGCGCAGGATCCCTCCGATTCCCTTCTGCAGAGTGTGGTGATAGTACTGGTGGTGCAGCCCGTAACAGCCCACACCTGGCTTCCGCACTCAGCCACGACGTTGTCCTTAAGTTGCAGTATGGTACCGTTGTGCTCAACCGGGAATAGCGTGACTTTCTTACAAGCTAAAATTACTCTAGGGTACCCAATACTAAAATGAATAATATTATTTGATTGTAAGGCCTTAATACTGGTAGTTCTAGTAGATTTGAAATTGTGACTCCTGTGAATTGTTTAGTGAGGATGGTTTCTATGTCAGCATGGTCAAGTAGAGAAGGGCTTACCAAGTTGGCTTTGGCCAAGGTGATTGTGAGCATTAAATTACCTAATTCTGTGATAAGAATTATATTTCTGGCTAATAGTGTTTCGTACAAGTGGGCAGTGTTGATGTGTTCCTTTTTTTCTATGCTAAGAATCTTATTCACCGTATCTGTAAGACTGTTTAGTTGGCCCTGGATCTTCGTGTTTATGGAAATCTTTCTATTATTCGATGGGACTAGCTGCGCTTCCGTAATCCTAATATTCTCCAAGTCTGAGGCGTCTGGTCTACCGGCCACTACCTTGAGGGCCGTCCCTAGGAAGTTTAAACTTCTTCCTATCCTATGGTGAATTCCAATGTTCCTTAGCATGTCTTTGACATGGTTTTAGTCAACTTCTAATAGTAGCCTCATGTGTGATCTTGGGAAAAGGTCTGTCATCTTAGCGGTCTCGTCAGCAACGCGTCCGTATTCTGTCAAGTTTGTGATGTGCCTAATAAAATTTAGCTCCTTCCACACTAGTACCGTCCCATCTGTGATGGGAATATGGTGGGAGTGGGAGTAGTCAGTGATGCGGGACGCAACTATTGTAAAGAGGTGAAGTATCCAGAGAAACCTGCGGATAAAATTTGTAATATAAAATATATGGAACTTAAGGAATCTTATAAGTACCACCACCATTATCTTTCTTAAATCTAACCGGTACAACTATCTAAGGTTGTCTTTATGGACCACCCTCCCTCTAATCAGGACTGTTGTCCCCAAGTCCGCCTCCACAGCTTCTTCCACGTAAAGCGTATTCAACTTGTTCACGAGGCGTCAGTTAGATTTTACCAACACCTTTTCTCCTACCCTAAACACTCTGTTTTGTCGTGTCTGGTTAACTCGGTTGTTTTGCATGATCTGAGCTTTTTGAACCTTGTTCTGTACTTCCCTGCAGGCACCTGCTACAGCAGAGTGAAAAATGTCTACTGGCCTTTTATTGGTGACCGAATGTATTGACCTGTTGTACTATACAGTTGCTTGCAGGAATAGATCCACGGTGTCGGTGATGCCCTTAGCCATTTTGAAGCACCTGGCAATTTCCACCAAAGTACTGTGGAACCTTTACACCTGGCCGTTCGATGTACTGTGGAGTGGCGGCGCGTTAGCGATATAGTTATTTTGTAAAAGAGGCCTAGTCGTCTCGGAATTAAGAGAGGGCTCATTGTCACAATAGATCTGCCTTGAATTAGGGAATACATTCATAAGCTGTAACAGCGGAGCTTTTAGGTCCGCAATGGTGCGGGAGGCTATTGGCTGCGTGATGGCAAATTTCGAGAACTTGTCCACACTTGTCCACTTGTCAGGAAGTATTTCCTATTGGTTGAGAATATATCAACATGCAGCATTTCTCCCGTGCACGACGGAATTGGCGTCGTGCCTAGTTCCTGTTTCCTAGGGTGTCTGTCATACTTTGCTCGGGAGCAAATCTTACAGTTCATGACTACCTCGCTTGCCAGTTTAGTCATTTTGGGTAAATAGTAATGGTCAAAACCTGTTTTACATTTTCCTGAGCGGCGCTATGAGCTCGATTGTGTTCTACCGTGATGATTTCTTTCCCCTCATTATCATCAAATGGGTCTGAGACAAGATTCTTGCAATGCCAAAATCTTGTCGACGGAAAGGCTCTTACCAACTCATGCTGCACACATGCTAGAGTTGGGAAATCGCAATGGATCACATTTACGACGTGCGGCTTTACTATCGATTTAATGACAGTAACAAGGGCGGCTTCGTCTGTAAAGTGTACGGTATGCCGAGTCTTTTCCCCGAAGAGAATGAAGACTTGCTTTAGAGGGAATTGGGCTTCCCTAGAACTATCTGGTTTCTAAAACAATTGACGGGCTTTTACGTCGTTTGTATACTATAGGAAAGCGATACCTCTCTATGAACTCCGACCGACTGTGGGGCGCTTTCCAACGCGTTGAAATTTTGTCGAGACAGTCAGTCAGCAACGTGATTTTCTTTGCCTGGCTTATAGAAAAGCTTGGCCCCAAGCTCCTCAATGCGAGCCTTCCGGCGCATTGTTTTAGCGTTGGGATTGCTTTCACACACCGCAAATATAAGCGGCTGGTGGTCTGTAAAGATGTTTATGTCCCTTACCCCATAGAGGTAGTGCTGAAGTTTGGCTAGGGCCAACACTATGGCCAGCAACTCACGCTCGTTAGTCGCGTAGTTTGCCTCCCTGTCTTTTAGAGCTCGGGATATCATCGTGATTGGTTTCCCATTTTGGGAAAGGACTCACCTATGCCATAGGCTGAAGCGTCCGTAGTTAAGTCAAAGGGTTTTTTAAAGTCAGGATACATCAGCATGCC